GGACTGTCGCCATAATAAATAGGACGAAAACACACACAACACACACAACTTTGAAGGGGTGTGACTGCTGCTGGTGAGGCAATGAGGTGGCTGTCATGTTGGCGCCTGTTTCCGTGCCAGCTGCTACTGCTGTTAGTTCAGAAGCAGCAGGAGGACGAGCCATTACAGGAGCCCCCTGCGTAGAAAGTGTGCTCGCGTTGAAAGAAAGAGGTGGTATGTGGCGCTTGCACTATTGCGTTCGAAGCAGTTGTGGAAGTAGCGGAGGTACGGCAGTCTGCTCTCCCTGCACGTTCATGTTGTTGGAGGTCTCTGTGCGGGGTGTTTCCAAGCACGCAGAAGTTGTGTGCGTGTACGATGCCCACGGGGCAGATGCTGTATCCCCCCCGGTGGAGGGGCGCCGTGAATTCATGCGGCGTCAACTCAGGGTGTGTCATCTATTATGTAGCCCGGGTGATAAACCCATGCTTTGTCAGAAGCGCCCAAAATTATCACCGAGGTGTCGTATTCTGTGGGGGTGTTGTCTCTAATGTAGGTGTGTTGTCTTGTGTCGTCTACGGTAATGCATGCAACACGAAAGCCTATACAATGGAGCGTACATTGTGTTTCCTATTTACACACTGATTCCCATACAGTAGTAGACTGCTGCGAGTAATCCGGCGAGAGCCTACTGATCCTGAGCAGCAAGCTATGGCCGGGAAGGTCGGGATATTCCATGGTTTTCACTGGGAGCGCTCATTAGCGACATTGCTGTTACAAAATCCTGGAACCGCCCCGGCCCGCTTGATGGGGCACCACCCTACCTGCTGCTGTAGGAGCATGAGCCCGGATTCTTAAATTGAACAATTCGACCCGACACCTCTAAGGGTTGCCACGGGAAAGCCACTCACCAAGGGGGAAGACAAGATACGGCCGTGGGGGGATCCCGACTGTCCCCGATCTGCTGGAGATACCACGCCACACCAGCAGGAGGAGGGACCGTAATTGGAGACGGCTTGGTTGGTTGGGGTTGTGCCTGGGTTCGCTCATGCGATGGTGGAGCCACGAATGCCACCCCAACCAAAGGACGTGAGAGCGAGGTTCTGTTGTCGGACGGATGTGTTGTCAGATAAGTTGCCCTGCTAAAGTTCTCCCTCGCCTGGCTGTGGGGAAGGGGCAGAGCAGGGACAGCTGCTGAGGAACTGAGAGAAACACGCCTTCTTTCATTTCTTGGGTCTGGATGGACTGTTGACCCCCGCCCAATCAGTGCCCGGTATCCCCGTTCGTTATGTGAATATTGGGGGGAGGGGGGGGGGG